TAGCCAGCCCGCAGAGAAGACTGGAATTAGTGCCTGGGTTTGCCACCCACAGGCATGTTTCGGGTCGTTTTTCACTTTGCTAGTCTTTCACATTCATTCTTCACCTTTCCATTCAGTTCTGTAGTCTCACCTCCGTGTTTTGATTTATGTCATCCTGTGATGACAGGGAAAAGTCTCTGCTCACGGGCCCTTGCTGGGTGCTATACTCTGGGGCCCTACGAAAGTCATCTTGCGAAGCCTTTGAAGGAGCCCCAGGGAGTAGGAGGTGGTATCCCTCTCTTTCGTGATCATTTGAAACCCAGAAGGGTGGAGCCCCTGCTCCAAAGTCACACAGCTTTCAAGAAGCAGGGCTGGGATCGAACTTTAGCTGTATCTGACCAAGAATGAAATCCTTTCCTCCTTCTGGGACACCACACCCCTGCCTGGTGCTACCTGGGGAGGGGCCACTCCCCTGGTGAGATGGGCTCTCTCTCTTCTCACCGCAGGCATTGGTCAGGCTCTACCACGGGGCTGCTCTAGAACGCAGAGAGGACCTTCTTTTATTTTATTTTATTTTATTTTATTATTTATTTATTTATTTATTTATTTTTTTTTGAGGACCTTCTTTTAAAGGAACGAGAGGGATGCCTGGGCAGCCCAGTGGTTGAGCATCTGCCTTCGGCTCAGGTTGTGATCCCGGGGTCCCGGGATCGAGTCCCACGTCAGGCTCCCTACATGAAGCCTGCTTCTCCTTCTGCCTGTCTCTGCCTCTCTGTGTGTCTCTAATGAATTAATAAATAAAATCTTTTTAAAAAAGTAAAGGAATGAGCTTCTCTGCTTCTCTTTCATGAGGAGCACCATTATTTGTATTGATTTCTGGAGCTTTCCTTTCTCTCCATCCATTCCCCTCCAGCTCCTCTGACACCCCTTCTTGAGCAAGGAGAACACGTTTGATCTCCCACCTGAGCCTGTGTGTTTCCTCTGAGGACCTGATCTGTGTGTCTGACCTGTAGTCCCAGCTCCCCGAGCAGCTGTGGTCACACCAGGTCATGGAGCGTGTGGTCCACGGTTAACGGAGTGGCCTGGGAGCCTGGAATCCACATCCTAGCTCGGTCCGGTCCTACACTAGCCGGGGTACCTGGACAGGCCGCCTGGCCCTTGCAAGCCTCAGTGGGCCCCTCCTACCCAGTTACTTGGCCTGTGGGTGGCATGCATTTAGCTGATGCGTTGTTGGTGACCATGACCATGAATTCAATATGTTTATTGCTCACACTGACCAAAATAAACAAGGTTCCTGCCACCAAGGTTCTTGGGCCTCGTGTTCAGGTGGGGAAGAGAGAGAGAGAGATACTAGGCAAACAAATAACTAACGAAACAAGACAATTTTTAGATGGTCATGAAGTCACGATTCCAGTGCTATGCTCGAGAATGTTGTGTCCGATTCTCTGGAAAAAAAAAAAAAGATCCCTGATGTGTAGCATTTGCCAGTTTTTGTGGTATAAATATCCCTACTGTGGCTGACTTCAAGTTACCAAAGTGGCATCCACTGGCTCTTAAAATTTCTAAAACTTTAACAAGTGGCTTTTTGCAAGGCCCGAGAAGCTGTTTCCAGCATTGGGTGTGGCTCGGGAAAGACCTGAAAGTATCCGAAAACAGAATGTACCAGTGGGAGAGCATTCTAGGCAGAGAAGGGGGCTGTGCACAAGCCCTGAGGTGGGGGAGGGAGCTCGGTGTACCCAGGGAACAGAGGATGGTGGGTTTTGGCAGGGACCTAATGGGGTGAAGGGAGAAGAAGTGAGACTCTGTGCTGGTGGAAGCCTCATAGACCATGGGACCAAGTTTGGATTTTTTTCTAAGGCCACAGGAAGTCTTTGGAGAGTCGTAAGCAAGAGAATGTCTGTGTCTCATTTGCATTTTTTTTAAAAAAGGTGATTGGACTATTCTGTAAAAGGCCAGAAGGGGCCAGTTGGGGGACAGTGGTGTGTGGGCCAGTGTTCCCGCAGGGGAAGAGATAGAAGTAGCTGGATTCAGGTGGATCCACAGGGATGTGGCACATTATATCTTCAGGTGTGAGGCTGCAATTTCTTCTTGCATCCTGGAGAGGAGGAAGGAAACAGACCATCAGGGCTCGCTATCTCTCCAACCTACTCCTGTCTACACTGTGCAATACTCTGTTTACTACCTCCCAATAAATCCCAGAGAGGAGGTGAGGAAATATATTTATCTTGGGTCCAAATACAAAGCACAACCAACAGAAACAAAATCTGAACTCTGACCTTCTTCCTGTGATTTTTGCAGGAGAACAGTACACTCACTGTTCTTCACTTTGCCTGGGGGAGAAGATAAGGGGCTCCCACTCAGGATTTCCATCTTTGTCCTTGGGCGCCTCTTGGGTGTGTATCAGACATGTAAATGCTGTGGGCCGCGGCCTGGCAGGTTTTAAAAGAGGTGTCATCTGGCTCTGCTCCACTCCCAGCCTGTCTCTGTATGGTGTTTAGAAGGCTGTTGAGAAGAACTTCATCTCTCTGGACGGGTGTTGTCCAGTAGAACTTGCTGATGGAAATGTTATGTATCTGTGCCACTAGCCATCTGTGGCTCCTGAGTGCTGAAAATGTGGCTAGTGTGACCGAGAAATTGGATTTTCCATTTTCTTTAATTTTTGTATCTATTATACTGGCCGACATGGTTCTAGACCATATGTAACCCTCCCATTACCCTGGAGCCTTTGTTTCTTGGCAGTTGACTAGAGATCCTAGTTTTGTAGATCTGCAGAGAAGGGTAGGTTTTTGGAAGCTGTCACTTGTCACAGCCCCACGCCCGCATGATTTGCCAAGAATGGAACAGTGTTTTTCAGGGGGAGAGTGGCAAGATGAGACACTATCTTCAAAGTCTCAACCCAGTCCTCTTTTTCTTTTGTGTGTGTGTATGTATTTTTTTTTTTTAAAAACTAATGTTACATTTCACAAGTTTCTAGGCATAGATTCTTCATTCATTGTAAATCAAGTGGTAGTCTTCTCTGACCACCTTCTTAACCTTAATCTCCTCCATCCCTAGAAGTGACTATGGTGTGGTCACTTCAGCATACAACCCTTTGTACCTTTTCCTATTGCATTTATATCTGTATCAGTGGATAGATCCCAAACATCCAGCATTAAAAAAAATAAGTTGTATAGTGTGGTACGTGTTTTTCTGCAAATTGTCATCTTTTCAGCAGTAAGTCTTAGATCTTTCTGGGTTAGTTTATTGATCTTTACTGTGTTTTTTTTTTTTAATTGCTGGACTATTTCCTAGCCTGAACATTTCATATTACTCAGAAGCCTACTGCTGTAATTAATCGATTGTTATACCATTTGTTTTCGTAAACATTTTTGTGCATGTCTCCTAAATGCACAATATTTCTTCTAAAGGTACATAGTGAGAAATAGAATTAGCAGGTCATAGGGAATATGTATTTCTGATTATAATAGCTGCTACATAATACTCTTTAAGGGGTACCTGGCTGGCTTAATTGGTAGAGCATGCAAGTCTTGATCTCGGGATTATACCAGCCCCACACTGGGTATAGAGATTACTAAAAAATAAAATCCTTAAAAAAATAATAACAAAATAGTTATACCCCGTTATGTCCTTATCACTTGCATGGGAGTGCCTGTGTGCCCATAGTTTCTAAAACAGGTGATTTTATCAAATACCAACATGCATGCCAATCTAGCAGGTGAAAAATGATATCCCATAGTTAACGTAATTTGCATTTTCCTGTTTATAAGTCAGATTGAACATCTTTTCCATACTAATGGCCATTTGTTTTTCTGGGAATTGCCTGTTCAAATTTCTTGCTCATTTTTATGTGGGATAATTTTGTTAATTCATTCAGCAAATGTGTACCAGAACACCTACCATGTGCCAAGCAGCATTCTAGGCGCTAGGGATGTTGTGGCAAGTAAAATAAATAGACATGCCTGCCCTTGAAGAGATAGTTGTAGGAGAAAGACCTGGGCTCCTGGGTGGCTCAGTTGGATAAGTGTTCAACTCTTGATTTTGGCTCAGGTCATGATCTCGGGGTTGTGGGATTGAGTTCCATGTCAGGCTCCATGCTGGGCATGGAGCTTGCTTCAGATTCTGTCTCTCCCTCTCTCACTGCCCCTCTCCCCTTTTCATGTGCACACACTCTCTTTGAAAGAAAGAAAGAAAGAAAGAAAGAAAGAAAGAAAGAAAGAAAGAAAGAAAAGAACCAAAAGGAATCAAAGAAATATATAATAATATTAGATGGGATAAAAAGAAGGAAGAGGAGATAGAGAAGAAGGAAGGAGATAGTCCTACCCACTGAGGGTAAGACTCAATTTTAAGTAGGATGGCCAGGAATCTTGTCCTTTACTTATTCATTTGTAGGCATTCTTTATGTATTTGTGTACTAATCCTTTGCCTATTCTATGTTACCCACATTTTCTTCCAGTCTTTAATTTTCTTTTGACTCAGATGATGGTACTTTTGCCTTGTTCTCTCTCCCTCTCTCTTTCTTTCTTTTTCATTTTTTTGATTAAAAAATATAACTTGTTAATGATTTTAATTAAAAAAACTTTTAATTAAAAAATATATTCATATAAAAAGTGTGAGTTCCTTCTTCTGATCTTCCCAGGCAACCATTGTCAAGAGCTCTTGTTTACCTTTCCTGATTATTTTCTAACTTCACCACCATGTGACATTCTCCCCACCACCCTACTGACAACACTGAGCTCTGGGAGTTTCTGGCCGTTTCCTCATAAATGCAGCTCTGATCTACTGCATTCTTCCTCATGGTTGTTTAATATCCCAATTAAGAGAGGATATCTGTAATTTATTTAAGCAGCCCTTCTGGTTGGACCTCAAGGTTACTTCCAGTTCTCCATTCCTCTAGATGATGCAGCAATCCTGTGCTCTTTCTGCTGCCCATGAGCTTCTCAGATCTTGGTGAGACTACACCCAGCAACACCCTGCATACCAAAGGTGCTATAATAATCTGATTTTTGTTTCCCCCCCCACAGCTCCATGGCTACATGGAAAACAAGCCCCTGGGTCTTCAGATCTTCATTGGGACAGCTGATGAGCGGATCCTTAAGCCCCATGCCTTCTACCAGGTGCACCGGATCACAGGAAAAACCGTCACTACCACCAGCTATGAGAAGATTGTGGGCAACACCAAAGTCCTGGAGATCCCTCTGGAGCCAAAAAACAACATGAGGGCGACGTAAGGGCTGTGGGCCAAGGGTGATGGGTCTTTACGGGGAAGAAAGTGGGGCCAAGTGGCAGGGATTTGGGACAGGGGACTCTGAAGTTGGTGGAAGAAACCATGGATGGTTCTTCCCACTCTGTGATGGACCCTTAAAGATTTGTTTAAAAAGTGTCAGGAGGAGAACACATATATCTTTGGATTGTCTTATTTGGGATGAGGCTAAATTTATTGACATTTAAAATGTGTTTGGCCTAAAGAAAATTATTAAATGATGATGCGGAAAGGCTGAAATTCACAAAGTGATAGCAATATAGCTAAAATTTGGGAGACATTGCACCCATGTATTAGAGTTAAAACAAACTCTTTATTAGAAAATAATATCAAACTTCCAAACCACGAGAATTTTACAAAGAACTCCTGTCTCCTGTTCACTCACATTTGTCCATCACGAATGTTTTCCAACTTCCTTTATTATTCCCTTCACTCTTCGGCTTTTCCTGAGCTGTTTGAGAGTTAGTTGCAAACACAGTGACTTTTTTACATTTAGATGCCTGAGTGTGCATTTCCTCAGTACAAGACTGCGTTCCTTCGTAACCACAGTACATTTATCAAATTAAAGATCCTTAATGTTGATACACCACTCTTTATCTAGTGAATAGTCTATAATCAATTTGACCAGTTGCATATTTGGGTTTCTCAGATAATGTTGAGAGTAGAAAAACTGGCAGGAAAAAATCTCCACTGGAGAGTAATTTCCACTAGGGAATTTCACTCCTGACTTTGGAAGTGTTTTACCCCCAACTGGGCATCAGCTCTTGGATGAAATATTTATCAATGGACTTCAGCCACTGCCCTTCCCCATCCACCATAGCTGGTGGTATTATTTTGGTTAACTGAGTAAGGTGGTTTCATGGGTGATCTCTTCTCTTCACCGAGATGGTCAGTTCTAAATGGGGTTCTCCACCTCCTGGCAGCATTGATTGTGCGGGGATCCTGAAGCTTAGGAACGCTGATATCGAGCTGCGGAAGGGTGAGACGGACATTGGCAGGAAGAACACGCGGGTGCGGCTGGTCTTCCGAGTGCACATCCCAGAGTCCAGCGGGAGGATCGTCTCCCTGCAGACAGCATCTAACCCCATCGAGTGCTGTAAGTTGGGCTTTGGGCAGGGTCGGCTGTGACTGTCCACCCTGGGCAAGGTGCCCAGCAAGACTACCCCGGACCCACAAGGGTCCACAGGGGGCCCAGGAGGACCATAGGGCCCAGAGACAGAGCACATGTAACGATTTCTCTCTGCTTCTGTTTACTTGTGGAAGGTTCTGTGGTCTCACAGGAAATTAAAAAAATAATACAGCTAATGAGTAGCCTACAGCTTTGTTTAGAAGATTTGAAATGTATAAATGATTTGGTCTTAAAAAAGGTTGATGCAGTAGGAGTGAGTTCACTGTACACAGCGTCCTCGTTTTCTTTTCCTGGCCTCTCATTTCAATCAGAAGGGTCTCCCGGTGGCTCTCGCTTATTGAACGGTGACGCTGCTGGTCACAGTGCTGAGCACTCAGCACTCGATAGCTCGTGGAATCTTCACAGCAGTCTTTGGCAATGGCTGGTACCATGATGCTCGTTTTACAGAAGAGGTGGGAGAGAGCTGAAGGGTTGGCTAACTTGTCCCAGCAGGGCTGGGATTTGAACAGGGAAAGATGCCCAAACAAAAGTGCAGGGGAATCTTAGAATAATCCAGTGTGCAATGGCTGAGACCTGCTGTGTGGAAGGGCCCCGAGCAGAAACTGGCTCAGTTCTCATCAGGCTTCGAAAGAAGAAGCTGCTTTGAGCTCATTCATGGGGACTCGAGGCAAGTTTTGTAGTCGGACATGGCAAAACTTACTGTCTGCTTAGGGTTTGAGAGTTCGCAAATCATTTGCCAAAGCATAAAGAAGAAAACGTAAACGTTGTTGCGGAAACCAAAGCTGTTTATATGATTTTTTTAGTCTCTTCTAAGAGTATTTTTTATGTTGTTACAGTCGTGTTCTGTATTCAATTATGTCTCAGGATTCTTTTTCCTTTTTGCTGGACATTTTACCATAACTTGGTGTCACAGAAATCTGCTGCCGGCAGAAGCCAGGGGGGTCACGTGGAGGAGCAGAGTGGCTTTTGGTGGGTAGCAGTAGGGAGTGGTGGAGACCAGGGAGCAGAAGGACATGTTCCCCACCTAAACGGGCTGCCTTTATGCCACCCCAGCCAATATTTCCACGCGGGCATGTAGACTAGAGGCGGCCAGATCCTTTGACTTTGTCAGACAAACCAAAAATCTCCTGATTTTTAAAAAACAGTAACAAATTCAAACTACTGTGTGGATCAGAGGAAATCTTCATGTGGTTTTGATTAATCAGAGGTAGTCTTAATCAGACATTAATGAGTAAAGCAAAAGCATGAATATCTTATGCAGAGAGGGTTGAGGAGGTCTGGCCCTCAGGACTAGAAGCCAGGGAGGAGAGAGCGTGGGCCCTCTTTGGGAGTGGAGCCAGAACTTGGTCTTGGTTGGTCTTTGGAAAAAGATGAAGGGGCCCTGTGATTTCTTCCAGCCTTGCAAGTCACGATGTGGATTAGACTGAACGCAGTGGTGAGCCTATCCTCTGATGTTAGATGAGAAAGACCCAATAGCAGACAACAAGGGAAAACAAGTGTTGAAAACGTCAGCGCAGAAACATTGGAATTCCCCTCTTCTACCCAGCAGACCCCACCCCTGTCCCCTGAGTGCTAGTCATGGTGGCTGCCCTACTCCACTGTTGGTTTTGAACATCTCGAGATGTTTTGGGAAGGAAATTCAGGCTCTTCCTCAGTAATTTGGGGGATTTTGAGAAGATAAGGTCTCCTCTTTCTGGCAAGTGAGTCACACTACAGGATGGGGCTGTGGTTTGTAGCAAGGTGGGGAGCAGGAGGCCTCAGGAGAGAACACATGCCGGAGCCCCTGTCCCTCTCCATCTTGGGTCCCTGAGGTCAATGTGTCTCCTGTTGAGCTGAGACTTTTTAAGTTTAAGGATCACCATTGAACCACATACAGCTCTGGTAAGGTCTTCAGGGTGTTATAAAGTTGTTTGACAACCTTGCACATAGGGTTTTTTCCCTCTATTTGGCTGATTCAGCTACCTCCCCCTTTGACAGATAAGGAAACAGACTTTCTTGGTAGAGTGATTCACTCATTTTTACTCAGTAGGTAGCAGAGCCAGAGTCTCCAGCTTTCCAGTTCTATGAAATACCTTCTTAAGGTTTCTAGAACACCACCATTTCTTGCAGTTCCAGACTAAACCACCAGTTGGTTGGTCTCTCTCTCTCTCTCTCTCTCTTAGAATCTTGTCATTTTTATTGCCTTCTGTGTCCTATTTGCCTAGACCGGTGCCTGATAGTTCTACACGTATTTATTGACTAATAATGATCCTTAGGGAGATGTGCAATAAATATTTATTGGCACTTAGTCTGTAGCCTGTGTTGACACAGTATTTATACAATAAATATTTATTGACTGGTTGACTTAGTGTATACCCTGTGGGGAAGGTGAGTTGGTAAGAAAAACACTCCATGGGCTGGTACTTATTTGCAAGGCTAGCTTGCTTACTTCAGAGGGGCCACTTATGTAATAATGTCTTGGGGATCAAGGGTAAGCTCTCAGATTCTAGCGAAAGAACAAAACAAAAAAAAAGAAAAACAAAAACAAAAACCCCAAAACCAAACTTGAACAAACTACTGAAGGCCACTCTTTGGAAAGTGACTAATTTGCTAGAAAAGTCAATTCCTTACATTTGTTTATTCACAGGTCAGCATGTCAGAGGTCAACTCTCCCCTTTGCGCAGACAGGCAATCCATGTCTTTCTATATCCACATTACTTCTCTGTTTCTATGAGATCCTTTGGTATGGCCAAGGACATACTTTTAGTTCCCTCCCGTGGTTGTCAGCAGAGCCAATTTTTTTTAAAAGATTTTATTTATTTATTCATGAGAGATACAGGAAGGAGAGAGGCAGAGACACAGGCGGAGGGAGAAGCAGGCTCCCTGAGGGGAGCCCGATGGGGGACTTGATCCCAGGATCCCAGGATCACGCCCTGAGCCGAAGGGGGATGCTCAACCATTGAGCCACCCAGGTGCCCCAGCAGAGCCTATTTTGAAGCTTCTCCAGTCTCCCTGGCTCTGGGTACCTCCCACTTCTCCGAGGACATGGGAGAGATCTGGGGGAACACCCTGGTCTTCCCCGATGGCAAGCACACACTGGGCTCGCAGGGCCGGTGTCTTCCCTCCTCCGGAGCCTTGAGATGGGACAGTTCTCCTTTCCTCAGGGCTCCTCTGTGTTCTCAGCTTCAACTGCTAGTTTCTTGTGGTGCTTGAGCCCTTGGGTCCCTCTTGTAGGACTTCCTTAGGACTGGCATGCCTGGATGCCCCAGACAGGGAGGCTTACGACGGCAGACGTCTGTTCTCTCACGGTCCTGGAGGCCAGAGCCCAGAATCAGGGTGTCAGCAGGGTTGTTCCTTCTGGAGGCTCCTCCTTGGAGCCCAGCAGTCTCATACTCCTCGGCTTGTGGGAGCATCACTCTCATCTCTGCCTCCTGTTCACATGCCCCTCTCCTCCCTGTGTCCTTGTCCATCTCCTATAAGGACATTCTTATGAGATTCGAGGCCCTCGCTGCTCCTGTGTGATCTGCCCTCCATCCTTAATTTATTTACACCTTCAAAGATCATATTTCCAAATACAGTGGGGTTCTGGGTGGCTGGAAGGTTTTGGCTGGGGCTCTGTTCAACCCAGGACACTGCCTCCGCTGCATTCCTTCTCTGTCCCTCAGTTCCCAAACCCACTAGGATCTTTCTCTGACTTCTTTCTTGGCTTTTGCCCATCCTGTCCCCTCCATCCAGAACACTGGTTCAAACTTGGCTGCATGTTGGAGTCACCTGGGGAGTTCTTAAAAAAAACAATATGGTGCCCAAACCCCACCCAGAGATGGCAAGTCTGCTGGTCAGTGGTGGGGTCTGTGCATGGAGACTTTTATTTTATTTTTTGAAGATTTTACTCATTTATTCATGAGAGACACACAGAGAGAGGCTGAGACACAGAGGGAGAAGCAGGCTCACCGTGGGGAACCCAATGTGGGACTTGATCCCAGGACCCTGGGATCATGCTCTGAGCTGAAGGCAGATGCTCAACCACTGAGCCCCCCAGGTGCCCCACAGGGAGACTTTTAAGTGGAGGTCGACGGTGGTTTTGCTGTGAGAAGCATGAGGCTCTCTGACCTTGCCTCCCCCACCCCTCCCACCCTCTAGTCACTGGGTTCACTACTCGTCATCCAAGGCTGCTCTTCACTTGGCCCCTCAAGAAGGATGCTTGCCTTGACCCCACGGGGCATTGGGCCCCCACTCTGTGCTGACAACCCAGTTTACTTACCAGTCTCTCTCATGTAAGGATGGAGACCAGAGGGTGTCAGCCCGGGCCTGGCACAGAGCAACTATCTCTATCTCTAGAATGTTTGTTTTAAAAAAAGAAATAGTGAAAACAAGCATTTCCAGGCTGCCTGGGGGAGAGAAAGGCAGCGAGGGGACGGAGTGGGGCTCTCCACAGGTGCAGAGGCCTTGTCCCATGAGAACCTCCCCGTGGATTTTCTTCCTGACCCGAAGGGGCCTGTCAATCGAGTTTCAGAAAGCACCAAAAGCAGTTTTCCACTAAGTCTTAACCTGCTCCCAGCACAGGATGGAAATTCGCTTTGATCCTTTTGCAGGAACTGGGGAGTTGGGTATATGATGGGGACCAGAACGTGGATTTTCTCACCAGCTCTTTTCGTTCTCTCCCATTTCGTGACATATCTGTGTTTTACTAAGGTATAATTAAGATGCAAGAAATGGTGCAGACTGCGAGTCTTCAGCTGAATGATTTTTGACAATTCACAGTACCTGGGTGACCACAGCTCGAAACGAGACACAGGACATTTCCTTCCCTCCTGGAAGGGCCCTCGTACCCCGTCAGCCAGCGCCTCCTCCCCAGTCGCGCACACAGGCAACCGCTGTTCTGATTCCTATCACCGTAGCTTAGCTTTCCCCGTTCTGGAACTTCATGTAATGGAATTATACAGCATGTACTCTTGTGTCTGGCGGTTTCTGCTCAGCACGGTGGTTTT